CAATGCGACACTCGGCTGGCCCTGTATGTAATTAATTTTTAATTATATAGATGTGGCAGTCATGGTGATGACCTTTTAGGAGGCCAATAAGCACATGAAAAGATGTTCTACATCATTAATTAGAGAAATGCATATTAAAATCACAAGGAGGTATCACCTTGCACCCATTAGTTAGGAGAGCTATTATTAAAAGAAAAAAAATAGAACAGAAAATAACAGGGGTTGGTGAGGACGTATGTGGAGAAATTGGAACCCTCATGCATTTCTGGTGAAAAATGTAAAATGATGCAGCTGCTGTGGAAAAGAAGTGTGGGATTTTCTCAAAAAATTAAAATTAGAACAACCATATGACCCAGCAATTCCACTTCTGGTACATACCCAAAAGACTTGAAAGCAGAACCTGGAAAAGATATGTGTACAACCATGTTCACTGCAGCAGTATTCACAATAGCCAATGAGAGGAAGCAACCCAGGTGTCCATCAACAGATGAACAGATAAAGAAAATGTGACACATGCAATGGAATAGCACACAGTTTTTTTTGTTGTTGTTTTTTTTTTGAGGAGCAAAGATTTTTACTAAAGTGAAAGTACAGCTCTCTTACGAGAGGGGGTTACCTGAAACTGGGATGCCCCTAGCACACAGCCTTTAAAAAGGAAATCCTGTCATGTGCGACAGCCTGGATGAGCCTTGAGGACATTATGCTAAGGGTAACCAGCCAGTCACAAAAGGACAAATAAATACTGTATGATTCCACTCATATGAAGTAGCTAAAGTAGTCAAAAGTTGAAAAAACAAAGTAGAAAGGCGGTTACCAAGGGCTGAGGGGAGGGGAAGGGTGAGTTAGTGTTTAGTGGATACAGAATGTCAGTGTCTGCGAGGGACTCAGATATCCATCTGCACACTCATGTTCACAGCAGCGTTATTCACAGTAGCCAAAAGGTAGGAACAGCCCAAGAGACCATAGACAGATGGTGGATAAACAAGTGTGATGTATCCATACAATGGAGTATAATTTAGCCTTAAAAAGGAAGGAAATTTGGGCACATGCTATCACACGGATGAACCTTGAGGATACTATGCTCAGTGAAAGAAGCCAGTCACAAAAAGACATATACTGTATGGTCCCACTTATATGAAGTGCCGAGAGGTGTCAATCACAGAGTCAGATGGCTGCCAGGGTGGGAGGTGGGGGAGGGGATTGGTTCCATTGGTAGGGTTTCAGTTTATTTTTTTTGTTGTTTTTTTTTAAAGATTTTTTTATTGGGGAATTGGGGGATTGGAACAGTGCTGGGGAATTGGGGGGAGGGGAACAGACAAGTTGCTGTCGTTTTGTTCTTCAGTCTAGTTGTGGAGGACATTGCTTCACTG